CACAGGAGAGAATTAATCCCCATACTGTGTCAGCTGAACATCTCTGATAATTAATAGGGAACAGGAGATGCAGGTGTTTTTCAGTGCAAGAGAACATCTGACACAGCAACCTTGGAAATGAAAGTTTCCTCCTTACAGTGGTTTTCCTCCCGAGACTATAAGGATCCCAGAATTTCATACTGACAGCATCCAAGCCAGACTTCCACCCCATGTCCAGTGTTATTTTGTTGAGGGTATCGGCCAGGAGGCCAGCAATATACTTTTGGTGGCCTTTGGGACCAGCGAAGAGCAGAGACATTTCACACTGGCAACCGTGCAGTTACCCAGTAGAGTTTCAGTTGAGGTTACCCAAGTCTCATCGGAGCTGTCTAGAAGTAAGAAGCTCTAATTCAATTTCCCAGTACAAATACGTATCCACCTCAGAGGAGAGGTTTGCAATAGCCAGCAGAGGGTTTCAGAAGGATTCTCTGCAGCCTTTACATCAGGCCATTAAGAAACTTCTGATTCTTAACACTGAGCAAATAGATGCTGTTTCTGCAATGGCTATGCTATGAATAGCTTGCTTTTTTAAAACACCAACTTTCCAGATGTAACTAGAGACATTCCTCAAGAACCAGACTTCATACTGCCTCAGGATGACTGGATCCAATCCCAGCTCCAGCACCAATTCCCTCTGACCCGAGGCAGTTCACCTACATTGCTGCTGCTCACAGCAAGACTTTTACAGGTCTCAGTGGTGCTGTGAAGGTTAAATATCTGAGGCCATATGCGTTCAGAAAGACACCTACATGTCAACTGTTAAACACAACAAGATTCTTTAGACATCAGCTTTTAAGAACAGGTTTAGATGTTACTATCATGTCAGCGAAGAATTATCTGAGAAAGTGTGGTGTTTTTTTAAAAAAATCTTAATTGAGATACTTAAAAGCATAACTCATTTTTCTTTAATTCACATGGACGTACTTATCAGGCAGATAAGCAGCAATGCAAAGCAAAGGAAAAGCAACAGGCATATAGTGAATAAGGCAGACAAAAAAACCAAAACCAAAACAAACTTATCCAGAGGTGGCTGCAATGTTCCAGAAACATTGTGAGTGTCTGCCTCATATCCTACTCCAGGAACGATGGTCCTGCTGCTGCTTCTTTACAGCCTCTGCTCAGAGAGGCGGTGGGAGTATTGCTATTGATTTCAGTGGGTCAAGAAAGCCTACAGATTGGCAACTGTTTGCTAGTCAAGTCATGTACTTTGACAAATTAACATCCTGCAGAAATAAGTCTGTGCAGGCCCATTCAGCTGCAAGTGGGCAAAAGACTACGTGTCCCCAAAAATGGGCATCATAATTAATAACTAGATTACTTGGGCTGCAGTCTCAGAGCTTTTGCTCCTCAGTAGTACTTCAAACTGAAAGAAATGGCTTTGCTTTTCTGTATGCATGTGGCACTCCAGCACCTCCGTAAAACCTATGCTAGAGCAAACCACAATGGCAGACCACTGTCCAGGGCAGTCAAACTCTATATCGCTTATTCCAATAATGAGAATTACAGAGATATCACAGATAAAATGTGATCAGTCTACCAAAGTAAGGAAAGAAGAAACTATGTGTACATTTCTGCTCTAATCCCACTGTTTCACGCAGCTGTACAGCCAAGACGAGAGCTGGGTTCCTGCTTGACAGCTCCCGGTCTCAGGGCATGACCGCACACAGTCATGTCCTAAGCCATGCCCTACAGTAGGTGCCAGCATCTTTTCTCAGGCCAGGTATTGCTAGCAAATACTCATCTCCCCTCCCCTCCTTCCCTCTCCCTCCACCCTGCCCAACTAATCACCAGCAAGGCTTTTCATCCTCTCTTAATTTTCTGTTTTGCTTCATACCACCCTGTCAGTTTTGTGCTTGTTTCCTATGTGGGACTGAGGCAGGAATCCAGGACAGAATCTCGCAGCAATATGTAATTAATTGCAACTACTCTTACAGAGGCTACAATTTGGGCTGTTCAGCCAGACACATACACTCTGCAAATAACAGTTCCAAATCACTACTCATTTAGCAAGTTGTCAAGGTCCTGGTTGTTCTTTAGCACGTTAAAGCTGAGAGTGTAACATGGTTTTTAAATCAGTCTATGAAGCATACTATGGGTTTGTACAGCATGTAATACCTTATCTAGAGCAACACAACCCAGAAGGGCTTTTCACTTTAGAATTGTAAGCCACTATTGCTTGAGCAGGAGAATTAAATTCATTAGAGCTGACTCAGAGGCAGGTCCTTATCCAGAATGCCAGCCGCCCACTGGTAAAGACATGATCTCTATACATTTAGCGTATGTAGGTAGAACAGGGAGCGTGGCTGACTGAGGCTGATCACAGGACGTTCTCCTGCTACTACACAGCATACAGCTTAATTAAAGTGGTACCCCCCAAAAAAAAAATCAAAATAATTTAAGTAATTCAGGTACTTGAACCCCATTTATTTTCAAGGTAGATTTAGGATCCTAAGACACTTCTGAGAGCAGTATTTTGGTTCCTCTCAACATTTAACCTCCAGTTAAAGAAATAAATACAAGCCATATCACAACCAGACTTTCAATATCTAGAGCTCCAAGGCACAGTGAATGATCCAAGAGAATATATTCCTTTGAAAAAGTCTCATCTGTCTTCACAGTTATGGATTAAAACCTCATTCCAATAATACCACCACCAAGAAAAAGTGATACTTTTATCTGTAGCCAATATCCATATCAGTAGATATACTACTTATGGAATTACACCAAGGCTAGTTAGTAACTTATTTATGTTTTTCGTCTCATACAATTTCAAAGTAGGCTACAAAAGCTGGTAAGAGCTACCAGAATTAGCATTCTTTGGAAGAAATTCAGTTGCAAGGGATACATGACTTGCCCAAATTCACATACTAAGTAACTAGCAGATCTAGATTGTAAACTGTAAAAAAAATGGCCAAGTAAGAATGTTTTTCTTTTATGTGTGCTAGACAATCTTACCAGTAAACCCTCAAGATTAATTAGCTATAGCTGCTAATAATTTATAACTACTCAGAGAAACTTATCTTAAGAGACATCACATGCCTAACACTTGCATGCAAGAAACAGAAAAATGCCCAATTCCTGTATCCTTAGGAGAATTAATTTTGAGAAGCACAACTGCCCGAAGCCCTTGCTGGCTGATGACCCAGCTGGACAAAACACACCATCGCAGAGACCCACTTTAAGAATCACAGTTTCTCAACAATTATTTATTTTCAAGTAGGACGAGTATTTTGTTGAGGGGGGAAAATGGCATTGTTCTTGGTGAGGACGAGCCGTTCTTTCTTTTTCAGAGGCAATTTGCTTTTCTAAATCTTAAGCATAAGACTTGGAAGCAATATCTCAGCAAGGAAAGGGTCTGGATCTCACGTACGCAGGTAAGAGGCTGGAGTCAGTGCAGTAGCTTCCCCATGAGAAAGCAATGGAAAGGACAATGCAGCACTGAGGAGGTTAGGAGTTCCTGGGAAAGCGATAGCAAGAAGAGTTGGAGCTTTTACTTCATTTTGCACCACCGCTATTACTAGAACAGTGATAACGTCGTGCATTAAACAATTAGCCACTTCCGACCACGCATTCCCAGCACCAGCTCAGTATCAACCAACCCCTTGGGCTGAAGTGGACAGCTGATAAGAAACTCCACTTGGGATGTAGACCGGGTGAGCTCACTGCCTTGTACAGCATCTGGGCAAGGAGCAAAGGTTTAACTCACGCCTCAGGGATCTAAGGTTTTGCCTAGAAAAGGCAGATCAGAGTGAGGTGGAGCACCAGTGCTTAGCACAGCCCTTTGGCTGCCCATCTGGAGACCTCCGTTTCTATCTGCTCAGGTCAGAGGCAAAATAAGTTCAGCAGTCTCATTATTCTCAAAAGCAGCCAGTACAATATGACAACTGAGTATGAAGTATAGTTCTCCTGGGCCAAAGCGCAGAGCCGAGAGCAGATAGAGTGCAGGTGACGATCACAACGTACTTGAGGAGCTGGTGGAAAGCCCATGGCCGGAGCAGATACACCAGTTGAGCTCAGGGAGACAGCTTTTTCTTTTGAATTAAAAGAGTTCAGATTTCCAGAAGGAGATCAAATCTTCCAGAGTCTTTGCGGGTACTCTGCACTGAGGGTCTGGGATTTTTCCTTCAAACTCATAGCTACATCCAAGAGTATGAACACCCTCCAACTACGTACAACATCTTTCCAACAAGTGCTTTTCCCATCACTTATCAGAGGGAAAGAAACACCCACCAGTTGTATGGCTGTGCAGTGAGGTTGTCACACTGAAGTGTGTCACCATGAAGACCTGTGGGTACACATCAGACTTCCCCATCCTCCCACATCACTCACCAAGTGCACCCAGGTCCTTGAGCAAAAGCAATCCCACAGATGGGTTTGCCTTCGCCCGAGGCAGGAATAACCCAGACTGTCTTCCCCCGCCTATTCTTTACATGCACTACAGGGACTTTATCCCCTTCTACAATACATAAAAGTTTTGACTGGGCAGGGCCAGCTCGATTGGCAGATCCCCGAGTGTTGACTTCCTAAGTAATGTGTAAAACCACACAGCAAAACGCAGTACTACAACATTGAACAAGAATGCGGGGTGTCGTGGTTTAATTTCAGTCGGCAACTAAACACCACGCAGCCGACCACGCAGTAGCATGGGGCACGGGATATGTTTCCAGCCATCCGGTGGTTGCCTCCACCATTGTAAGCACGTGGCGCTTGCCTTGGCGGGTTTGTGGGAGTGTGATATAATCGATCTGCCAGGGCTCCCCATATTTATATTTCAGCCATCGTCCTCCATACCAGGGAGGCTTTAACCGCTTGGCTTGCTTGATTGCAGGGCATGTTTCACCTTCATGGATAATCTGGGCTATAGTGTCCATGGTCAAGTCTACCCCTCGATCACGAGCCCATCTGTATGTTGCATCTCTTCCTTGGTGATCTGAGGTGTCATGGGCCCACCGAGCTAGAAATCATTCACCCTTATGTTGCCAGTCCAGATCCACGTGAGCCACTTCAATCTTAGCAGCCTGATCCACCTGCTGGTTGGTTTTATGTTCTTCAGTGGCCCGACTCTTGGGTATGTGAGCATCTACGTGACGGACTTTTACAACCAGGTTCTCCACCCGGGCAGCAATATCTTGCCACAATGCGGCAGCCCAGATGGGTTTGCCTCTGCGCTGCCAGTTGCTCTGCTTCCATTGCTGCAACCACCCCCACAGGGCATTTGCCACCATCCATGAGTCAGTATAGAGATAGAGCACTGGCCACTTTTCTCGGTCAGCAATGTCTAAAGCCAGCTGGATGGCCTTTACTTCTGCAAATTGGCTCGATTCACCTTCTCCTTCAGCAGTTTCTACAACTTGTCGCATAGGACTCCATACAGCAGCTTTCCACCTCCGATGCTTTCCCACAAGACAACAGGACCCATCAGTGAACAGGGCATATTGCTTCTCATTTTCTGGTAGTTCATTATACATTGGGGCCTCTTCAGCACGCGTTGCCTCCTCCTCTGGCGATATTCCAAAATCTTTGCCCTCTGGCCAATCCATGATCACTTCCAGGATTCCTGGGCGACTGGGGTTTCCTATTCGAGCCCGTTGTGTGATCAGTGCGACCCACTTACTCCATGTAGCATCAGTTGCATGATGTGTACATGGGATCCTCCCTCTGAACATCCAGCCTAGCACCGGCAGTCGGGGTGCCAGGAGGAGCTGTGCTTCAGTGCCGATCACTTCCGAAGCAGCTCAAACCCCTTCACCGGTCACTTCTGAAGCAGCTCGAACCCCTTCATATGCTGCTAGTATCTCTTTTTCAGTTGGAGTATAGCGGGCCTCGGATCCTCTGTATCCCCGACTCCAAAACCCTAGGGGTCGACCTCGAGTCTCCCCTGGTGCTTTCTGCCAGAGTCTCCAGGTAGGGCCGTTCTCCCCGGCTGCAGTGTAGAGCACGTTTTTTACATCTTGTCTTGCCTAGAGTGGCCCAAGGGTTACTGCGTGAACTATCTCCTCTTTAATTTGTTCAAAAGCTTGTCGTTGCTCAGGGCCCCATTTGAAATCGTTCTTCTTTCGGGTCACTTGATATAGAGGGCTTACAGTCAGACTATAATTAGGAATATGCATTCTCCAAAAACCCACGACGCCTAAGAAAGCTTGTGTTTCCTTTTTGCTAGTTGGTGGAGACATGTGTTGATCACATCCATTGGGATCTGACGACGTCCATCTTGCCATTTTATTCCTAAAAACTGGATCTCCTGTGCAGGTCCCTTGACCTTACTTTGTTTTATGGCAAAACTGGCCTTCAGAAGGGTTTGGACCATTTTCTTCCCTTTCTCAAGAACTTCTTCTGCTGTGCTGCCCCACATGATGTCGTCATCAATGTATTACAGGTGTTCCGGAGCTTCACCCTGTTCCAGTGCAGTCTGGATCAGTCCATGGCAAATGGTAGGGCTGTGTTTCCACCCCTGGGGCAGTCAATTCCAAGTGGACACCCCTCCAAGTGAAAGCAAACTGTGGCCTGCACTCTGCCGCCAAAGGGACTGACAAAAAACACAATAGTGATATCAATTGTGTCATACCACCTGGCTGCCTTTGACTCCAGTTCATATTGAAGTTCTAGCATGTCCGGCACGGCAGCACTCAG